CCTCAACTCTACTGTCTAGAAAGCTCTTTTTTAACTCTTTAGATTTTAGTGCATTACTAACATCTTCTAGTGAAATGTTGTCTTTCCCATATAGTAGTGTATCTGCAATAGTATCATAAGACTGTGGTAAAGAACATAACACAATCAAGGCATGATCCTCACTCTCAATGTTGATATCCACATTCTTCAGGTCCATTATAATTGAATTAAACTCATCAAGGTGAGTTTTAACAGGTGTACCTTCTTTCATACGGAGATTGTATAACCTCTTTTTCAGGTAGAGGCGGTTTGTCAGCGATTTCTTAGAATAGAGATCTTCCAGCTTCTTTCATGCCGTTGCTGCGGAAGTTTCTTCAGCAATTTCCCGAAGAACGCTATCTGTAACGCTCATGAACATCGCACTCAAAGCCCTCTCCTTCAAGTCTTCCTTCTTTGTCTCTTTCATATCTTCAGAAAAATCCTCATCAATTGCTTTCCATAATCCTTGTAACACTAGGGAAGATTTCATCCTAATCTTCCATAGACTGACACTAGAACCTCCGTTAAATTTCTCTACTTTGTACTTTGTTGAAGATGATAAAGACATCTTAACCCTAAATTATATATAGAAACCCGAACCTTGCTCTGATACCAATTATTGCGGAATATCGTGGGTTAACTAGCACACAATCACACACAAAGCAAATAGAGAAGAAAAATCAACACAAGGATTTTTACGAGGTTCGGCTAAGCCTAATCCTCGGGGCAAAAGCAGAGAGAGTTATTCACTATGAATGAGAAGAAAAGCATAATACAACCTTTAGAATCCCCAACTACAACCCCTATATATAGATCCTAAAAGATCCCAAACATATAAGAGAAAGGTTTCCCAATTTGACAAGGACTATAGGTTTTTCTTTCCCAAATCTATTAGGACAATGGGTTCTCCTAAACCTATAGGGACTATGGGTTTCCTAAAAATACAAGGAATTAATTCAAGCCACAAATAACATATTTATTCTTCATTTTCTCGTGAAATTTACGTTCATTTTGATATTTATGCCCTACTGGGAGTGGAAGGGGCTAATGGGAAGTACAATGGATGCATGGAGGAGTGGAAGTGGCTAATGGGAAGTGTAATGTCTGCATGGAGAAGTGGAAGTGGCTACTAGGAAGTGTAATGGGTGTATAAGGTCTCTACAAAGAGACTTTAAGTCCTACTGGGAAGTGGAATAGCTATTATAACTCTCCCTATATATTTTTCTCGTATGCTAACCTCCATAAAACAAATAAACTGAAACTACTACTACATCTGAGCATAAAGATGGATAGGACTCCGATCAAGAAAGTTGTTGAATAGACACTTCACGATTCACCCGTCAGTCATAATATTTTGTACCAAGATCTTAAGCGTGACTTTACTAAGCTGAAGCATGAGGTTAATGAATTGCTTGAGAGGCTGGTTCGTGACTCAAGCATTGATTACCTAAAAAGTGTCATGTTGGAGGAGCATTCGCTAACTTGAATTTATACCATGCTTGATGATATGCCCACACCATCCGTCCAGAATGGAGCCAAGAGCAATTCTATTATTGTGATCACTAGTGACATTGAATCCGCCTCCAAGATCACCAATCTCTATATGTGACCCAAAATATTGAGTAGTCCATGCATTATAAAGTTTTCTCTCAAGTTGTCTTTTGCTTATGGTAATATTTTTCTACTAGTCTATGAAGTTGTCTACCCCTTATGGTATTTTTCTTATTGATCTTACTATATTTTGGTGACGTTATGAAATCTCATATTAATGAAACTATATTATTATGTATTTGAATCTCTTTTTTTTTCTTTTTACTTAAAATCTCTCTTTGATGCCTGTTAACAAAACAGTCCAATTGTCTTCAAAAGTGCAATTGTTCGTTTGATGCCTAATGCAATGAAAGAACTACGAGTAGCATTTGTACATTTTAATTAAGTCCTCTAAAAATGGTCAATTTTTTGTCAAATTAAGAAAGCACATTGAACTTTTGACACCAACCTTAGACAATAGAAAAATGTATTGTCAAAAAATATGTAAAAAACTTGAAGATAGTTGAGAAGAGAAGAAGTACTATGAAGCAAACTTCCCAAGTTCTTGTCAAAAGAAGGAATTTTTGAGTGATGAATCAAACAGTGTCCAAAATCTGATGTTACTATATTTGTCCAGAATCAAACAAATGTGAAAAGTTCATATAACATTCCAGACAGTGTCCAAAAATCTGATGAATATCAGGGATCAACGTAGTAAGGTTTTAAAACAGGTGCAAAATGAATCTAACGCTTATAACTACTTAACATCTAGTCAGGATGATAACACTTTGACACTTAGAACTAAACTTTTCAATTAAGATCCAACAATATAGACAATATATTCAGTTCATAAGGGGAAAAATAGTTTTATTAATATTCAAACTGAATATTTTTCTGATATATTCATCCCTATAAACATTCCGGCTAACAACACAGATGAAATAACCCTTGCTCCATTGTCACCTTCAACACCTACACCACTTTCATCTACAAATGAACTTGAAGATGGTTCTTCACTGTCAGCATTTTCTTCTTGAAAATCATTGAATGTTGCTTTGGCTTCATCATAATATTTGAAAGACTGGAAGATGCTTCCTTTGAAACCTATAACCATAGGAGCACACTCACACCAAAAGTTGTATAATCCGGTCCTCTTACCACGAAATACCACATACACCTTCGATGCTGATATATTCTCAGCTTGACAGCTTTTTCTGAATTTAGTGAACGCTGCTATGGCTTCATCATACGATTAGAAAGCCTGGAAGATGATACCCTTGAAACCAGTAACTATAGGAGCACACTAACGCCAAGAGTGATATAATCCAAGCCTCTTACCACGAAATACAACATAAACTTTCGAAGCATTATTCCTCTTCCCGTCCCTCATTACTTAATCTAACCCTTAACACTAAAAGAAAGATAAGAGATGGAGAAGGAGAAAATAAAGATAGAAAAGAAATAGGGGCTGGAAAAGCTTCTTAGGTGAAGCACCATATATTTAAGAGTTTAGGGTTAGGAAGTGACCAATGGAGGATGAGTATAGTAGTTTAAATGTATACATATTTCCTCTGGTATACTATCTGTATATTTCAATGTATTTCGTTTGGTATAGTATGTGTATATGTGCATTGAATGCTTTATGGAAAATGATGTAGTCATGCATGTGTATATGTGAAAGAGGTCATGGGAAGGTAATACAATTAAAATAATGAGAGAGAATTGCTTGAAAAAATTGAATTGAAATAAAAATTTACTAAAGGGTAGAGATGGAAAACAAAAATGCTCAATTATCCGTTATGCCCTCAAAAGCCGTGCGAAGTTACCACAATGCCCCCATTCTGGACATTTAGGTCATTATTAGTGTGGCCGAATATATTTTCCGTTAATTTATCCATTGTATTAATATCTTGGATTGGATGCTCAAATACATTCACGTAGTATCAGAGCTAAACTATAGTAAGGGTGTTTTCACAATTGCTCTAAGCTCACTCTTTAGCCAACTCTCTCTACTTCAAGCATACTTAAAATTTCTAGGAAATAGAAAAAAGCTTAAGTATTCAGTTCACACGTAAATAGTGTTAGTGAATACACGTATCCCATATCAGTTGTACAATGGTTTTATAAAAGGGGTTTATAATAACCTCGTTCACTCCATCTATTACTTTAAAGTTTTGAGTTGGATACTCAAACTCTTTCACAATTAGGACATAGTACATGTTGATTTTCACAAATATCTCCTGTTATTAGTTCTATTAATTTAAATATAAACAAATTTTCAAACCCACTGAAAAATAGTCACAACTTAACAAAATTCTTTTCTTCTTCTTCTCCAATCCATTAAGAAGATCTTTCCAAGAACAAACCTCTTCGTTGGCGTAACTAAAAGTCCCACTTCCATACACTTTGCAACTCTTATTTGAAACTCAGAATAAAAGTTTTCCTTCTCTTCTCGGCAGATATATCGAATAACAGCTCCTTGGTTTACCATCTGTTCATAATCGAATCCATGAATGTTTTATTATAGCCAAGAATTATTTAATTAACAGAATCAAGATTACTGTAGTCTTTGTTGTATAAAAGATCGACTAAAACTTGAGCTTATAATTTGTTTTAGTGCAACCAACCATACAAAGCTTATTATCCCTATATACAACAACAACAAACCCAGTATAATCCCACATGTCGAGTCTTGGGAGGGTAGTGTGTACGCAGTCCTTACCCCTACCTTATGAAGATAGAGAGGTTGTTTCCGGTAGACCCTCGGCTTAAGGAACAATGAAACTAAAGCAACAAACAATTGCGACAACAAGATAACAGGGTAATGGAAGCGAATAACACAACATGTACTAATGTACAAATTATACTAAAAACTACAAAAACATGTGCAAAATTTTAAGAAACTTCCATAATGAACTTCTACTCAGTTAATTATACTAAAAACTACAAAAACATGTGCAAGAAGTAAAAGCATAGTCCATAGAACTTCCATGCCCAAGAACATTTATACAAGTCTAGCTAGTTGTGATAACAGTTAGATGGTCATTTTTGCAAAAATCTGCATATGTCATGTCTATCTTCAAGGTTTTCATTGAGATCGGGGCCATATCCAAAAAGCTCATCAGGATTTGGTGAGTTCTTTTTGTTCCATAAACAAAGCTTATGGGAAAAGCAACCACTTTCTTTTTCTGGAGACATACTTGTGACACAAGAACAAGCACAGGAGGCTTGTTCCCAAAGCACATAAAATCATGTATTTAAGCGCGCAAACTCAACTTTTGAAAAATTTCAAACAAACGGCGCCTCAGTTTTTCAATTTGTGGAAAAAGAAAAAGAAAATCAAGTTACTACTCGAAACCAAGATGTATGTAAGAACCTTTAAATGCCAAGAAGTGGAGGAAATTATAAGTTGTTTTGAAGCATGAAAAGAGCCTACTATTAGAAATAGAAGATTGACAACTTTAAATAGCAGATTGTTGCATTGGCACCCAGAGTCCACAGATACATCATACATTAACCAAAGGAAACCAATATTATACAGAATAGGAGAGAAGCTTAATAGACAAAATGCAGAACAAGCTCTCTCTCTATAAGTTCACATACTATATCTTACAAGCTAAATTTACAACAGTTGGCAGAGACAGCTCTATTATGGCTGCACTCCAACAAGGCTACAAATAATCTTGTGTTCTAACTAATTCTCAAAGAAAGAATTTTAAATATAAGAACCCTGCCTAAAATAAAAGGGTTCTGCATATATAAACCTAACAATCATTTATTCTCCATTTCCTCGTGAAATTTTCCTTCATTTTGACATTTATGCCCTAATAATTGGAACGCTATGCTTCCCTAATAACTGCATCATAAAGTCAAATACCTCGAGAACTCTAAGCCATTAGCAGCAAATAAGCTCTTGTGGGAGAAGAAAGATAAGACCGCGTCTTTTTAACACCCCCTTAAGATACTTGCGACATTTTTTCCAATCTCTTCTTTTGATTCCTCACATATAGGAACATCGCCAATGTACATATCAAAAAATGCCCCTGAAAAAGCAAGAATAACAAGCGTCAATCTCACTGCCTTTTCCCGTCCATTTTCTTCATTTTATCCTTCTAGTTAGTTCCAAGAATCAATATCTTGCCACTTTGTGCAGTATATCCACCACTGCCAAGAAATAAATTAAGATGACGGTTCACTTACTACACAATTCTCTACTCTGAACTGCTCCGATATTGTTTCCTCCGACTGCAAAGAACAGCAGCCTTATAGTCAGAAACACAAGACTGTTTGCCTAATTCCCTTATCAAAAAGAATAAGCAAGTATCAGAGAGTTTGTCTTCTTAGATATCAGTGCACTTACTCTCAGTAATTAGATGTCCATCAGCTGTTCGTCGAAAATTGATTGTTGTACCCTGAAATTTTCAAGTCATGAATAATAGATGAAGAGGCAACACTAGAATAAATGGAAGGTGGGGAGATTATAGCGCAGCTTACTGCTTGTATATGAATATCTTGCGAGAACATGGAACCAAATGTTTCTAGACAGCGATAATCTGTATCAGGATTTGTCTGTACAGTGAAACAAAGAATGTTAGTATCAAGGCGTTTTTTCTTCTCTAGCAGCAAGTAAATGTTTAGGACAAAGAACTTTGTGCAGAAGACGCTTGTTGTACTAACCTTCACCAACCGAGCTCGAAGAGATTTCTCAAAGACGCTGCAGAAAGAGGCAATTGAAAACAGAGTTGAGAATGAGTATAATAATGGCAATGATGAAGACTTCCATGCGTTAGGAAATGTCCGTCATGAGACACTTGTAATTAAGTTGGAATGCTTCTAGAGACGGATCCAGGATTTAAACTCTATGGATTCAGCCTTTAAGGTTCTTATCATTGAACTCGTTGTACTTCTAACATTATGGGTTCATATATACTGTTTGTTGCAATTTTAGTGAAGCAAAGAAGGCTTCTAGAAACCGATTCAACAGGATGAGGTCACAAGTGACAACCTAAAAGTTATCAATTTTTCAATATCAAGAAGTGGGAAGTAGTCATATTCAACTAATTAGTCAATAATATTGAAAAGAATTCAAGAAACAGTGAACTAATTGATTTTGAATAACAAGTGTGAGACAGAGCAATGTTTAATGTTAAACAATGGGGGTAAAGCTTTTCAAAATCTGAAAAGGAATTCAACATACTCTCGGACTGTGTTGATTTTGATTCCATTGCAGCTAACAACAAGCCTAACAGTCATGCTAATATCTTCCCTGCAGCACAGCCAACAAAATTGGTGTGAGGAAACAATAGCAAATAGCACAAACTCTAATCATTCCATAAACAGAATGGCATATGCAACTGTGCAAGTAAAGCCATACAAAGATTAGGTGTAAAGGCGGTAATAAACAAATGTACCATACAATACCATTTGTGGGGGGAAAATCCAACACCTTTCAACTTGACACACTTAACCACTTGCAGTCACACATTTGGAAGTAAAATCAAAGCACATTTACAGCAGAAAGGTTTTCTTCAGTAAGGTTCCCAACAGCAAATAAATATTCAGGATAGTGTTAGATCACATAATTGGCTACTGTTCTATAATTGGTGGGAGTAGCAAAATAACGACGACAATTACAGTCTAATCATTGATGGGCAGAGATATGATCATTACCCATGAAGTCACCAGTTTCACAGTTTATACTAGTAAAAGGTTTCTGGTGAAAGCAAGAGACAGGAGAAACTTAGATGAAAAGGAGGAACAGAAAAACAAGAGAGGAAAAGCTACATAAATGGCAACGGATGCACAATGCCAGGTGATTCCTTCCTATATTCCCAAGCCTTGGTAGACAGAGTTACCCGGTATCTGTGCCGGTGGGAGGTAGCAGGTAGCCCGTTGAATTAGTCGATGTGCATGCAAGCTGGCCTAGACACAACGGTTATGTGGGGAAAAAAAGGAAGGAAAAAAAAGGCTATATTAATGGCATAGGATAAAAATGGGTTTCAGAAAAGGTGTGAGAACATGGACTATCAAAACAGCAAAAGAAATGACGCGAAAGGAGCTGGGTTAGTTCTCAAATGAGTAGAATTGAGGGCCCAGTACAATATGCTTAATAGCTGCATCTTACCAGCACAGGAAAAGAAAATACATCACATGGAAATATGGACAATCAATTACTACAGTAGGATCTGAAAATCCAAACTTCAAAACAAGCAATGTAGCTTCACAAATTAATTATCAGAAAGAATGTGCAAACTTGAGCATTAACCAATTTTAAAATTATCTTCAGAGACAAAATAACACCTCATTAAAGTTGTGCCAGATTTCACAATGAAATGTCAGGACCATGGCAAAAGTTAAGGAAAATATGTCCAGAAGATCACGTATTTAACTCCAAAGGCATTGGAATGCGAGCGATAAAAGAAAACCTGAGAAGATCCCGATAAAAGTCTTGCTGTTTGTTCAGTTCACAAAAAGGAACTGAGGCATATTTCCAGCCCAACTTCTGGCAGACATCAAAAGGATGGACATCTATACAAAATAAACGATAGTTAAGCTCTGCAGACAGAACTTTCGAACTTGATAAGACCTTAGGGCAGTCTAGAGAAGAGCTGGAACTTACAGAAGCCAAATGCATAAACCTTCAGAGATTTAATTCTGATAATTTTCATTATTCTGGATCCAGTCCCAACAAGGACCTGAAATACAAGCAGAAATCAATTCAAACTTTTGTTGACTACAGGAAACCTACAAATACTAGGAGATAAATTCATAACTGCAGTATCAAAACTGTCTAAAAAAATTATGCTCAGATTAAGATTTGTCAGATCGTACGGGAAACGGAAAAACTGGTGAGAGGATTCAAGATTACATTTTCTCAGAACACTGCTAGGATCTTACAATCAAATAATATCATAGCATTAAGTATTGGAAATGTCATGCAAGATCCTATACAATGTCTACTTTTATAGCTTTAACTTCTCACTAATATCTATGAAAATAGTGAATAGAGCAAAAGGACTTTATCATCCAGAAACAAGGAAGTGGAACTAAGATGATGGTGAAAATTAACTTTTTCCCTTAAAATTATGATACTGAAGGAGAAAAGCGAAGCAGTAACTGTTCACCATCCAGGCATAGCTGAAGAAAACACCAAAAGTACCAAATTCACTTTAATTGCTTTTGTCATATTTTTCTTCTTACACTGCGTTTTTCTTATTCTTTTCCAAGTTCAGGTTTCGGGATAGTTGTGGCTCTTTCTAATATATCCCCCACCAAAATGACTAACATTGAGCGTACGCAAGTAATCAAAGAATTGTTAACTGTCTTTTTTTCTTTCTTTTCTGAGAAAAGAATAGTTAACTGCTTTTCCAAGGTTACAGGTCTAACCAAACTGTTGAATATAGTAATGTTCTCACTAGGGGTGTTCATAAAAACCCGAAAAATCGAACCAAACCGAAAACCAAACCAAACCGACCAAAAAAACCGATACTTTTTGGTTTGGTTTGGTTTTGGGTTTGAATTTTAAAAATAGATCAAATTTGGTTTGGTTTTGGTTTTAATCAGAAAAAAACCGAACCAAACCGACTATAGGAGTAACTATTTCAAATTTATTATTACACCTATATATATGTATATTTTTATATAAAGTTTCAAAAATTTAATGGTAAATGTTAATAGTTTGCACTTTTAGTATAGTTCTTTACCTTTATATTCTAGTTTGATTGGTAGTTTTCTTTTGTTAAGTGTAAGAATCCATTTCATGTTAAAAATAATATATTTTTAATTGAGTCCTTAAATTATTCATCACTATTTGATTCAATTATCATCAATATAACTTGGTAAATAATAGATTTCTCAAAGGGCAATTGATTAGATTGTGTTACGTTGAAAATGTGGTCTCCAGAATATGTGTTTGGTAGTGTATGTCTTATATTTAAGAAAAAACCGACAAATAACCGAAAAAACCGAAAACCGACATAAACCGAATCGAGAAAAAACCGACTTAATTGGTTTGGTTTGGTTCTAATATTTGAAAAAACCGACTTACTTGGTTTGGTTTCTTTTTAGGGAAAAACCGATCCAAACCGAACCATGAACACCCCTAGTTCTCACTGTTATATTCATAATGTGTGGTATTGTATGTTTCCACATTGCAAAGTTGAAATATATTGCCCTTTCCCTGTTCTTCTGTGAGTGTCTATTCTTTTCTGTACGTCTTCTCTTACTTAGATGGCTAGAGAAGATTGAAGCCTAAAATCAAACAGTCATAACAAAATGAACACGTTTTCATCAGTCTGGTGACAAACCAGATTTCAGTCTCATTAAATTGGCCATTAATTAACAAGATTCAGGAACCACACAATTCAGTTAACAAAACCAAATAGCAAGTCAAAAAACCAAACTGTTTAATTGGAAAGCCCATTTAAGCTGGGATAGCAATATAGAGGGGTTATGGTCAAAGTGGTGCATTTTCAGCTGAACAACCGAAATAATTGCCAGGATAATGACCCAAACAAGTATGAAGAGCTAAATCGAAAAACCACATAGTATCACAAGAAAAAACAAATCAATCGAATACCAATACTTCATATTTGTTTACCTCTGATGTGAAACTGGAATTTTTCTCCCCAGCTATTAGGTTGTCCAAGATAGTAGGAAATTCAATACCCGTTATGGGCTCAACTGCATGTCTAGACCAATCTAAATTCTGGAAAAATGAATTATCACATCCCCGGTGTTCAACCTCACAGGGCCGTTGATCCTCCCCGCTCTGTGTTTCCATAGCACCGCCATCCAGCTGGACAGCTAGCACATCCCCGGAGCTGATTATCATTCATTTGGCCAAAAGCAATTATAAGAACTTCAGTGCAACGTAGTAGTCAAAACATAAAAAGGATTCTTTTTTTTTCTTTTTCTTTTTCTTTCTGTGAAGGTAATATATATGGCTTTTAACAGAGCCTTCCCGTGAGAGACTCAAGTTAAATAACTTCATCATGAAATTTATTGAGAAGAAAAGCTTACAAATTGTCAAATGGAGGTACTAAAGCAGCAGCTAGTGAGAGCAAAGGAATTGACTGAAGATGTTCGGCTTCTTTGCAAAGTTGCTTCAATGTGAACTTTGAAATCTTACTAAATATCACAGGGATGGTAATTTTCCCTTGGCATCTTGATTGCCAGAAAAGTTCCATGAAATTATGTCTATTTGAAGCTGTTTGTTGTGCTAGAATTGACATTCTAGACCTGGTGGTTCTTGAACCTTGATGATTGCCTGATATTCGGTTATTAACTCTAGAGTTTGATCCACTGACAAACCAGACTAGCAGCGCACCAGCATATTTTGAAAAGCATTTGAAAGCTTCTTGAAGTGCCTGACTCCCAGGCGCACATAAGTTTCTAGAACCATCAACAATCAATGAAATATGGGAGAGAAAATCCGCTCCAAAACCATATGGCATGAGAGGATCAATGGGGAACATTTGCGATGAACCCCCATTACCATCCATGGAAAATGACAAATTGTTCCGCATTTTTAGTGCTCCCTCGATCAGCTCCGACAAGGGTCTTGTAGCCCCCAATCACTACCGAATGTAGACAGATACAGGCAGAATCACCTGCTCAAGTATTGATTCAAGTTAGAAAACATTGGTCCACACAGAATAAATTAAAAGAACAACGCAAATAGCAAAATGCACCAGGCAAACTAGGACAAACAGCATTAGCTGGCATCCACACCATACTATAGAAACATGTGGCTTCATAAACCATATAAACAAGATTCAGACAAGTAATACAAAGTAGTTAAAGTAAACTCTGTTTCCAGCAAATCATTCACATGAAATAAAATTAACTAAGACACCACCACACCAGAAGAATCTGCCCAAGAAATAATTCAAGTAGAAAAGGTGAAATATCATCAAATATGTACTAGGTGAAGAGATCCAGAGTTTAAACAAACGTTAACATAGAACCTTATAGCAATTACAATATATATATATATATATATATATATATATATATNTATATATATATAAAAGGTTTTTTTCATGAAAAAGGCAAATTCTTGGAGGAGCTACATACAATAAATAAGGAAATTAAGAGGCATTATAAGCTGGTGGGAGGTAAGAGGTACCGAAGGAATAGTCGAGGTGCGCACAAACTGGCCCGGACACTACCATCATAAACAAAAGATCCATTACAAATGAAAATAACATAAAGATTGCAACTTTAACCACCAAAAATTCTAACAAATTATCAAAAAAGGAAAAAAAAACTAAAATAGCATCAATACATTCAGCAAAACCAATTTTCACCCCAAGTTAAATCATAACAATAGGTACTAATTTCCAGCTCTTGTAATCAAAGGCAGAAATCAAACATGATCAATGAACAAAAACATATAAAATTACAAAAGAACTAACCTGAAAGGAGCAAACAGAAAGCTGGAAAATGGGGTAGATCAAGAGAATTAGATACTGAGAATGCTTTTCCACAAAGATTGAAAATGCATGCAAAAGTACATTAGGGTTTTTGATATGAAAAAAATTGAAAGGGACTAGTAAAGGAAAGAATATGCTTTATGGTTCTGGTAACGAAACGGAAAAAAAAGGTGTCTTTTTTCGATTTTCCTATTCCTTTTTATTTTTCTTGTAAATAAAGTATCCTTTTTCTGATTTCTTTTTCTGTTTGTTCCACCTGGGGTTTTCTTCATTTTTTTGTATTCCATTTGTTAGAAATTTATAATTGAGGGAGAGAGAGGGTGGGGGGGGGGGGGGGTGGAATTATAGAAAAATAATCAAAGACCGCTACTTGGATTACAGGCGAAAGTGACTCTTGTTCAACGCTGAATTGTTTGGCTGTCTACAGTTGATGTTCAAGATTCAATGTTTCGTCTTTCCTACCTAAGATTTGTGTTCATATTCATTGCCTATTGGATTTTAGTTTATGTCCAGCATATCCCTTCTTAATTCTCCTATTCTAAGTATTTTAGTCCCTACCAGTTGTTTTTTTCAATATTAAGATATAATTATGACTAGCATCGTGATTAATCTTAGAAGTATTAACTCAAATAGTCGTTCACCCAACCGCTTAAACTAAAATGAGTCAGTAGGGGTATAATATATGCATAATTTATGTTTGTATGTATATAGTTATGCATATCAATGTATAATTTATATATATGGCTAAAAAACAAAATAATGAATATGACTGGCTATTTGAGCAAAGTTTCAACTTACCATAAAGTTGCTAAACACACCGAGATTGCATGTCCAATAGGCGGGGGCCGAGCTAGAAGTCCGAATACAGTTCGGTCAAATCCAGTGGTTTTTACTCAAACAATATGTTTATGTTAAAAAAATTATTAAAAGTGTACAAATATTATAAATTTTGAACTCAATTATTAATACTTGAGATTAGTGTTCTAAAATTCAGAACACATAAAGTTAAACTCATGGCTCCGCCTCTACCAATAAGTTAAAGTTTATATGTCTAATGTCTCTCTAATAAGGTATTTTCTCTTTAAATATTTTACCTTTTCGATTGTTTGCTTTACAAGTTTAACAAATCACATTCACGCTTTGAATTTTTGGATTGTTTGCTGATGATAGGCTATAATTACGTATTTTAGTCGCTTATTACACTCAAATTTACTGCACTTTGATTGAGTTTGAGCTTTAATCGCTAGTGTATTGCACTAATTGTGTGTTTTATGCTTTGTAGGAGTGATTCCGAGCTATGTAGAGGTTATGGAATGAATTCAAGAGATTTGGAGCTTTGAAGTCTGAGTAAAAGCTCAAGGAATTAAGCCGGGATCGTGTTTGGGGATCAACGGATGATAGTTAAGAACGAACGACGAATCGAATAGGCATATTGAGTACTGTCTAGTAAAATGCACAAAACTTTTCTCTCACAACTCTATTTGGGCTCCACAATATGTGGTTGGAAAGCTAAGTCAAAGGGCTACAGCTTTCATGTTTTACATTTTTCCAAATTCCAAACAGAACAAGGTGAAAAGTGTGCGTCAAGTGCGCGTCCGCGCTCATACCGCGCTCAGGGAGGCAGAATCAAAGTGGATATGCGCGGTCCAAGCGCGGCCGCTCAAGTCCTTCCTGGGAAAAGTGTCATTTTTCGCATTGGAGAAGGTATAATTGTTTGGGCCCGACCCTACTTGGTACATATACATGGAAAAACAGCATTTTGAGAGATTGACAGATTTGAGAGACAGATTCGACCTGAGGAGCAAGGCGAGGAATTCTTCTACGAGTTTTTCCTTCCTCTTCCTATTTTTCATTGTTGGTTATGACTTTTAGTATTGTAGTTTTACATACTATTATGAATAGCTAATTTGTTATCTAGGGTTTTGTTGGAACCTTTTGAAGGATAAATTCTTGTTATGTTTTTATATAACTAAGCCGTAGTATATTCTCTATTTGTTCAAATATATTATTCTTGTGGTTGATTGAAGGGCCCTCAATTATCTGTGCCTATTTAGTATATATTACTCGGGAGAGAGTGCATATTTAGGTAGTTGTTGAACAACATCACTCCCGACGTATGTGAAGAATCAATAACTAAGGGTTTAAATGTGGGATTAGGGATAACGAAACCTTAGGTGCGATCTAAGTGAGTTGTAATTAAAGCCAGCTAGCATAACTCGGGAGAGTATGTCTAGTAAATTGTCGTAATTACTCGGGAGAGAATTACAACACGCAGATCGCTCATGATCGGTAGAGAATACTTAGGCGAAATTATATAAGACATAGCGGGAAGGATTCTGACAATTGGGGATATCATAACTCTAGACCTCCTTAATCTTTTCTCCAACCTGTAGTATCTTTAGTGTTAATTTATTATTTTAATTTGTTAGTTAGTTAGTTAAACATAAGAATCTTAATATCTATAAGTTAGGAATTGTTCAAGCTTGTATTCTTGGTGATAGTGAACAATTGTAGCTAAGCCTTAGTTCTCTGTAGGATTCGACTCCGGACTTGTAAACCGGATTATATTTGCAACGACCGCTTTGTCCTTTTTATAAGTCATAGCTGGGCGTGATCAAATTTTGGCGTTGTTGCCGGGGAACTAATGGTGTAGCTGTAGGTGTACATATTTCTAGGTTGCAAGTTTGAACTATTATTTTTGTTTTCGTGGTTTTGATTATTTATTTATTTTTAATTTTTTTATTTTTGATCTGAGAGACATGGCATTTTTGAATTATGAGAGTTTTGATGTTGGTAATTCTACTTTTGATTCTCGTTATGCATATTGTGGAGGAAACCACGCAGGGCAAAATTATCAAAATATTTCCGAGAGGGAGTTATGTGCACCAACTCAATCTTATGTGTGGAATGTGTGTGATATGTGTGGTGGTCAAGATGGTCACTTTCATGGTTGTGCTTATATTTCTTATCTTCCCCCAACCCCTTACTTTGATTGTTCTTCTTTTTCTTGTGAAGTTAATAGGAACAAAGAACCCAGGTATGAGGACCTGAAAGAGATCGTGGATTTGCTAAAGTGCCTTATGGAACAATATGATGAGATACAACTGCGGGTACAAAGGCAAGGGGAAACTATTCATAACTTGGAGGCTCAAGCGAATAAATTAATTGAACCTTGTAAAGCGCAACAAGTTAACATTGTGGATAGTAGCCAATATAAGCATGAATTGGTTGCAGAAGTTGCCATTATACTGGAGGATTTAAAAAATACGAGGATGAGCTAGAGGAGAAGGCCAGAGTAGAACACCAACAATCAATCGAACTAGATTTTGAGGATACCGATGTCGTAGAAGAAATACTAGAGTCAACCAAGGATATTGATGATACATATTTAGTTGACTCTAGTATCATCAGTGTTAAGGATGTTGACAATCCCAATGTTTGTGTAATTGAGTGCATTGGTCCACACTCCAAGCATTTTTCCACATTGTGTATGGATGATGATATGAACATAGAGTCGTCCGAGCTACTTGAGGAGTCAAGGAGTAAGGAACAAGATGCCTACATTCTGGAATTCTTCGTGCTAGAAAGTCGGGAATACACATCTCATCCAAAGGCCAAGAAGTGCAGAATACTATATTATTTTATTGGGCTAGTCAGATTCGTTCTACCACTCCAGGAGCATGATCACAAAGCAGAATCAAAACTTGGGGTCCAATTCATAAGTTTGAAGTGGAGGCAGAAAATGATTCACGTCGTGCCGTGACATTAAATCAAGCGCTTGTCGGGAGGCAACCCAACTTTACTGCTTTCTTTGTTTTTTTTTATTATTTTTTTTATTATATTATTTTTGTAGTGTTGATTTTTGATTTTCTAGGAGCATGGAAAGCAAAGCTATTGGAAGGATGCAACAACAAACCAGATGGTTGGAACAAAGTGTGAGGTACCCGCACGAAGGACCAGGCCTGGGAGAAGTCTGAGTACCCCATGAGATGCTAGTGCTTCGGCCTTTGGCCTACCAAGGAGTCTCTTTTACCCTCTTGTATGTATGGGTGTGCATTGAGGACAATGCACAATTTTAAGTGTGGGGTGAGGAGATTGTCTGGGTGACTTTCTATGCAATTTTAGTTATGTTAGTTTAATTGAATATTTTTTTTAAATAGAAAATATTGAAATTTTCCCGACGATGGATCTATTAGACAATTTTCTTGAAGGATTTATGTCTAAAGAAAAAATAAACAAATTTTTTGTTTGTTTGTTAGGTAGTGTAGCTATTTCCCTTTGGTTTTTCTTTGTGCCACGGTTCTTTTCCAAGGGCTTTATTTGAACCGGGTGTAGTTAGTATTTTTTTTAGGAATAGGAGTCATTGTGTTGTGTTTTGAAATCAAGCAATATCTCTTGACTTTGTTATGCCTTAAGAATAGTGAGTACTTTGGTTGTGACGCTTAGGCTCAGTTTTTGACTCTTGTATAAGTACCTTAAATTGTATGTTCTTAACTTTGCTTAACTGCTTTGACTAGAGTGTCTTGATGATCCAATCTTGAGTGAGTCATGTGCCATGTGCGTGCGGGGGTTGTTGTATTCTGTGCATTGAATTTAATGCCTAGAACTTGCCCCGTGTGTTTACAGAGCGAAATAGTAGTTTTGTTCAGTCTTGGAAATGATATAGGCGTTTCTTTGTTGAGCCAGATATGTATATTTTACCCGTCTAATTATTGTGTATCGTAGTTAACCCCTTTGATCCTATAATCCTTTTTCTTTGGCAACCACATTACAAGCCTTAACCAATTATTTGAATTAACCATCTATTTGAACCTTTTCAGCTCTCATGAGCACTTGAATTATTATGAAATGGGTAAAAGTTAAAGTGTGGGTTGGTTGGTGTGGCTTTTGAGTGAAACTAATGAAATAAGGAGAAAGGTGCACTATTATGAAAAAGGTAAGAGCCACACGAATAAAAAAATGAAAAAAAAGGAAAAAAAAGTTGTATTGTTGTGGAAAAAAAATTCCTTGATAAGTGGTGACTCTTGATGTAATTGTGCTTAAAGAAATATGGGGCAAAATACATTGATGTGAAGGAGGAGTTTGGTTTGACATAAGTATGGGATTTGAATGTTAAAGTATATGTATTAAAGTGCTTAGGGAGGTGTAATCACTCTTATATCCAAATGTATCCTACCCGTCCCGCAGCCTACATTACAACCAAATAAAATTCTACTTGATCCTAGACTGAATAAGCTCGATTAGTAGAGTAGTACACTATGGGCAAGCCTATGGTGCATCTT